AACCGAACTCACGACCTTGCGCTTGCCAGGCAGGCGCTTTTGCCGCTGAGCTAAATCCCCAGCCCTGAGAAGAAATTCTTAAATGTCATTTCTGTGTAACACTGCATCCCATGATAGAGCCTGGTAAAAACTGGATAGTAGAAACAACACAAAAATTAATTATGCACAGAATTACCTCAATTAAAAATTTTTCCTAGAGATTTTTCATAACTAAGTCTTCTGGTATGCCTTTGCCTATTACAGAATTAAATATTGGACAGTATCTGATTAGTCAGATAATTACAAAATAAATATTTTATTATGTATTATAAGACTAACTGTGCTGAGGTACATTCTGCTTGATTAGTAAGAAAAAAAAGAATTAATTTTAAGAGAGGATTTTGAGCCATAGCCCTGCCTCTCCCAAGATGCAGTGAAAGAATCAAAGGCAGCCAGATGTGATGTGCTCAGATTCTCTTCCCCGGACCCTTGGACAGGCAGAAGTAGTCACCCTGAGGAAGAGACACAACCATATATCAGAACACAGAGCAGGAGAGGAGTGAGTCAGTCTCAGTTTACATTAGTTGAGTAAATATTTATTTGGAACCTTCTCTGAGCTAGTCATTATGCGCAGACATAGTGGAAACAAAGATGAATCAGTCAGGGTCTCCTTCCTGGAATATCCCAGAGTCAAATCTGGTGGAAGAAGGATGACGGACGCAGAAATGTGAGGGGCATCCAAGGTAAAAACAGCAGCACAAGCAAAAGTTCTGAGAACTTTTAAACAATCATGCATGTGTGAAAAACTTCAAAACCCCTGAAATGCCAGGGTGTAGGAGATCAGATGTTTCTCTTTTTTGTAGCTCAGGGAAAATGACTTCCCAGTAGAAATGAGTAAAAGTAGAAGAAGTAGGGTGTGTGGGAGGAAGGAGGCTCTTGTTAGAAAATGTGCAGATCTCACTCCTGGATACCTCTGCCAACTGGTTCCAGCTGGTTTGAAAGATGGTGGAGCAGCTGTCAGGAAGAGTCCCTTCACCTGGCATAGCTTTGCAAGACTGGAGCGCTCTGTGGGAGACTCCACCCTCGACTGCCTTATCTGGGGTTCAGGGAGAACAAGGTCCATCTAGGAAAACTGAAAGAACTCAAAGACAGGCAGCTCTCTTGTCAGTGAGGTAGGACAAATGGCCATCTGACCCACGAATAAGTGTTGCTCATGGCTTCTGGAAAAATATTTATTATTGTAAGAAATGCCAGTGGAATCTTGACTGGTTAGATTACTATAGATACCTGTGTTTTATCTGTCAAAGGCCATTTGTAAATTTTGATTATTCTTTCAAAACTATTTACTCTGTATCCACCCAGTGCTTAGTATCATAAATATGATACCACATCCTTTTCAGAAAATTTAGAGCCTTATACTCTTGCACCGCTAGTACATGGGTGTGGGAGTTTTCAAGTAATGGAATGTTGACCATGACATTTCAGATAAAGAAATAGAATGCCTTTTTGATATCTGTACCTTAATACAGTATCAAATCATAAATGTTTTTGTATAATCAACAGTATGTTTATTCATATTAAAAAACACATGTTCTTTCAATCCTTTTATTTGATTATAATGAATTTGGATTCAAGACTGGCATAGTAATATAGCTCACCTAGGAAATTTATTCTTGCCTTGGTTTAAAGTAGTACACAAAGTATTTAGCATAAAATTGTGTAGTAAAGGTAGAAGCAATAGGTGGTAAAGTACAGATGTTGCTACACTGTGATGGAATTTTTCTATTTTAAAAAATTATGCAGGCATACTTCAGAGACATAGCAGGTTTAGTTCCAGACCACTGCAATAAAGCAAATAGCACAATAAAGCAAGTCGCACCAACTTTTTGGCTTCCTGGTACACATAAAAGTAATGTTTACATCATTCTGTAGTCTATCCAGTGTGCAATGTAGCATGATGCCTAGAAAAGTACAAACCTTAATTTAAAAATATTTTATTGCTGAAAACTACTAACACTCACTTGAGCTGTTGGAAAGATGGTGGCAATAGGCTCATCCAATGCGGGGCTGTCAAAAACTTTCCATTTCTAAGGAGCACAATATCTTCAAAGCACAATGAAGTAAAGCACAATAAAATAAGGCATGGCTATAATTAATTTGAATTTATTCAAGGACGATGGCAGTAAGCTACCAAAGGCTGAGGAGAAACCAGAGAAATAATCAAAATGCACAAACTCTTCCCTAAGTGAAAGGTAATGTCTTGTCAAAGATAAGGGACAGAATATCTGAATGGAGAAAAAGATTCTAACATGTGGACAATGCTGGAGAGAAAAAGAACTCTTGAGTGACCTCAGATGTTGACAGCAAAGATTCTCTCTGTGAAACACTGAGGGTTTTCCACAGGGAAAATTCTAAGACCTGCTAGCGTGATCATTATTATCTTTCTTCACGTATAGCACCGGTGTCAAAGCAAACATAACTAAATGTTTGAAAAGACCCCAACCTGATGTAGCTATAAATTAAGTTGATTTAGATGATATCCCAGAGGACTGACATAGAGGAGAGATGGAATTTTCTGAGGAAAATATCTTATACTATACTATTTTTTCTCACATAATGTCTAGCATATAGTAAAAAAATGATAAAACATCCAAAGAAACAGTGAAATGTGCCCTATAATTAAGAAAAAAATGTCAACAGATTGACCCACAAATACTGGCCAGAAAAGCCAAACATAGGGGCTGGGGATTTAGCTCAGTGGCAAAAGCGCCTGCCTGGCAAGCGCAAGGTCGTGAGTTCGGTTCCCGGTACCGGAGAAAAAAAAAAAAAAAAAAAAAAAAAAAAAAAATTTAAAAAAAAAAAAAAAAAAAGAAAAGCCAAACATAAAAGAAAAAAATTTAAAGGATATTGAATAAAGCAAAATTAATAACAATATGTGATTGGGTTTACAACACATGTACAACTAAAATTTATGATAATAAAAATAATAAGTATATACGTGGACAAATGAGATGAAAAAAAAATCTAAAACTCTAATTGATCATGGTGATGTACACCCGTAATCCCAGGCTGAGGTGGGAGGATAGTGTGCTTGAGCCCAATTTAGACAACTTACAGATTTCTTTCAAGGTAGAAAATGAAGAAATTAAGGATGCATGGCAGAATATATAGAGTAATTATTAAGGGAACAGCCCTCAAAATTTTAAATCAATAAGGGTAGGTAAAATACAAGTCTAAAAGTACAGTATTCAATTAATGGAAAATAAGACCAGGAAAGGGAAGCAGAGGAACAAAAGCAAGACAAAAAAATATGAAGATGATAGGCTTGAGTCCAATTGTATCAATAATTATAACAAAAATAAATGGACTAAACACTTTGTTTAGAAGACAGAGATGATCAAACTGCTTTAAAAACAAGACTGGCATTGTGTCTACAGGGAAGAAGTATAAATGCATTGATTTTTTAAAAGGAATGGAGAAAAAAGCTATACATGCAACAGTAAGTACAGGCAAATTGATAAGGTTATATATCAAAGTAGATTAAATAAATTATCAATGATAATAAAGATGAGTAACACTTATAATTTGTTGGTGGGACAGTTAAATGATATGGCCACTTCATAAATTTGTTCAATAGCATGCTGTAAACTTAAATATACATGTACCCAATGAGACATCAATTCCAGTCTTTAGTATTTACATGAGAGAAATGAAAATGTGTCTACAGAAATACTTGTGTAAGAATGTTTATAGTAATTTTGGCCATAATAGCTCCAAACTAGAAATACCCCAAATATCTATAAATAAGGTAATGGGAAAACAAATTATGATATATTTCTGCTGTGAAATACTACACAATAGTTAAAAATAAATTTCTGATGCAGGCTACAAAGTGGTGTACATTAAAAATATTATGTTGAACAAAAGAAGACAAACCCATAGGGGCTGGGGATTTAGCTCAGCGGCACAGTGCCTGCCTGGCAAATATGAGGTCGTGAGTTCGATTCCCAGTACAGGAAAAAAAAAAAAAAAAAAAGGGAAGACAAACCCAGAGGAGTATATATGGTGAATTCCATTTACATGAAGTCTGGGAAAGGACAAACCTAACCTGTGACAACAGGAATCAGAAAGCATTTGCCTCTGTGGCTGAAAAGTCGCCGACGGGAAGGAGCGTTAATGATGAAAGATACTTTATTTTGATTTGGGTGGTAGTTATACAGATAGTGCAAATTTGAGAATGCATCAGACTGTACTCTTGTGACTTATCCATTATATTGTCTGTAAATTATATCTAAAATTTAAAAAATAACTTAATTGAATACCTATAATGTGTTAGTAGGGCATTAAGGTATGAATAGTATTAACACGGTATTGTATAAAGATTAATAATAATTGTTACTAACTGGGTACTGTGGACTGGCACAACACTTTGTCCTTATGTATTTCTCTTGATTCAATCCTTATAAATCATGTAATGTAACTGATACCATCTGCATTTTACAAGTAAGGAACTGACTCAAGAGAGTTGAAAAGATTTTATGCATAGCTATCAAATCACTAACAGAAGAAAGACAAAGCATAAAAATTAATCAAATGTTGAAGTGTATGAAAGTGAAAAAGGAAAATACTGAGAAAGTTCTAATACTGAAAATATAAAAAATGAGAAAACTAAATGTGTTAGTGTTAAAAGTTTAAAACAGCTGC